GCACACGTCCTCAGCACAATTGGGGGGATTCCGTCAGGCCCACTCGACTTGTGGATGTCAAGGGAGAGGAGTGCTTTGCGAACCGAGCGCTGTGAGAACAGCACATCCGGTATGGAGCACTCACACCGCGGGATGGTCGGCGGTGTTTTCTCCCCGTCATCAAGAGTCGAGTTGGACGCAAAAAGGGAGCCTAAAAGGTCGGCTTTGTCTTTTGCGTCATGGGCCAGTGAGTCATCCTCCCTGTGCAGAGATGGTAGTGATGGCTTACAGAAATTCCCTTGGACAGCCTTGGCGAGAGACCAGAATGCACGGGTTCCCGAAGGAAGGCGAACTAGTTTCTCGCCAATTCTGCCTATGTGCTCTGACTTTGCCTTGGCAATAACTCTTTTGAAGGACCTGGAGGCGAAGTTATACTTCTTTTTAAGTGTGCTGGTATTTACATACCGAGTCGCCGAAGCCGCAGCCCAGGCTTGATAACACTCCTGCTTACTGCGTAATGCAGTCTTACAGGAGCGACCAAACCAAGGCTGAGATCTGCCTCCGATGGGTACCACAGATGATGGAATAAATAGTTCCACTCCCTGTAGCACCACATCAGTGACAGAGTCAGCAACAGCGCTGGGATCATCCGGTGAGAAGCAACCCCGCCCCCATGGGTAGGATTCAAAGAAGGACCGCATTCCGTCCCAATCCGCCGACCTGTAATGCCAAACACGGCGGCAACCTGCAGAACGCAACCGCGAAGTGAGCGTGAGTGGCACCACACTCCGGATCAGACAATGGTCCGAAGAGCCGAGAGGGGCATCGACGGAAACCTGATATCCGTCCGGATGAGAGGTCAGCAGAAGGTCTAACAGGGAAGGTGTATGATCCTCCATATCTGGAATCCGCGTAGGCGAAGTAACCAGTTGTAAACAAAAAATAAACAGATCTCCCCGCATGATCGGTTAGACGTGAACCGAGCCATTCGGCATGGTGGGCGTTAAAATCGCCAAGGATCACGATCTCTGCGGATGGGACCTGTTGTAGCAAGAAATCTGTAGCCATTTGGACGTGGTTGATGAGTCGGTCTGTTTCGGCATTACCGCTATGGGACCTATAGAGGCACCCGTAGACGCGCGGATGGTCGTCGCTGTCTACGCGTAGCCAAAGGATGGACAGGTCCGAACCTTCAAGACTGCCGAGGCGTCGAGAACAGATGTCCTCTCTGACATACACGCAAACTCCAGCCCGAGGCACAAAGGAATGCTCCAATTTGTACCCCGGGTAGGAGAGATACGAAATATCAGCCGGAGAGGAAACCTGCGTCTCGGTCAGAAAGAGCAAGGCCGGCTTCGCCGTCTCGAGATGGTAGTGGACGGCGTTTAGGTTAGAGTGAAGTCCCCTGATGTTGCAGAAATTCACGGATAGCGTGGCAGGGGTCGCCATGGTGTTTTTGCTCAGTTTGCCCCTAGCAGTAATGCTTTTGAGCGGAATTTTGCCCCCCCCCCAGAATACGCGGGGCAGCCTGAGCACCCACGCTCAAGATCGGAATAACATGGTCGTGGATGCTCAGCAAAGGAATCCTCAGGGGTGCTGGTACCCTCCTGGGGTAGTTCTTCGTGTAATTCCGCTACCATGTTGATGGGGGGGGGGGGGGGATTGGGCCTCCGGCCACCTGCACTCACCAGACGAAACGCAGAAGTAAAGCTTCTACTTCACGCCGGTATTCTGTGAGGTCGTTGTACCAACCCGGCTCGAGCCGGCCCATACATGCAACAGCAAAAACTGCTGAGTGGCTCTACCTCCTTCTTACTTTTAGTACGTACCTAGTACTATTATTTATTCTGTGCTTTTAAAATATTGTCATAAAGTCTCTGATTATTATAATAATCAAATATGTATGAATTTTGGTTTTTCGAATATTTTGTATTTGTACAGCAATCTTTTTGAGCCGCTGCAAAACAACCGATACAGTATCCTTTTACGACGGCGGTTCACGCTGAAGTGAGTGAGGCACCACACACCATTAAGTGAAATAAATTATAACAAGGCTCCTAAAATACCGAAAATTTCCGGATTTCTACGCCGAAATAAAATAATTATGACTAAACAAAAGAAAAAAAACTGCCATTTACATTTCATGGCTTCCCACGCGATAGATGAAGAGATTAAAAAAAAAATTGAGTTAAACAATTGATATTTTCAAAATTTATCGTGCGTTACCACTCAATACGGCCTTAATAAATCTACACCATAAGCCACTAAAACCACTATTTTATGTAAAAATTGCAATTAATCAATTTACAAAAACTATTAATAAGTTCAGCAATAATTCGTCTTTCTGAAAATGTGCTTTTTATATCATCTATATGTTTAATTTGATTGTAAGATTTTATGCGACAAAACGTCATCTTGATTTTAGGCGCTAGTAGAACATACTTACGCGCTTTGCACTTAAGGCATTCGAAAGTTGTTTAATGTATTATACTATACATGTCATTAAAAACATAATATGTTTAGATTGCAAATAAAAAAATAACTTTAAAAATGATGATGATATATGATCATTTTTAAAGTCCAACATCACTTTGTTTCAAAAAGGTGTTATGTACCAACTTCTTAAAACAGCCTTTACTCGGCGCTCTTCTTATGTTTTCTTAAAGAATTGTTGGTGAAACTAGTGAATTGAGATAGAATGCTAACCTTATGTTTAGATGAGGAGCGAAGAATATTACCATGAGTTGAAAAGATATACTGGAATTTATCCTTGAGATATGTTGGAGAATTTGGCTTATTCAAAATTGAGAAAAGAAAAGGCAAATTCTTGAGTTAGAAAGTTCTATTTCTATCAATATCGTGCTTTTACATATGAGAACTTCCATATATTTGCTTTATTTCAGACCTTATCATTATATGTGTTTTATGCATGGGACTTCAAGCCACAACTCAGCTATTAAAATGCTTATGAATCTTAAATACCTATATTGTTGCTTTTGTATTATAGACTTTACTATCATAAGTCCTTAATGTAGGACCACATTGTGTAACACTACTTTGGCAGTCTGTGGCTGACCACCAAAAATATATGTGAGTGTCTTCGGCAAATCCGTTATTAAATAAATCTTTACATGAACACGCTTTAGCAATACAAGAACACGTTTCAGCATTACATGAACATGCTCAATAACTTACCAATTTTCCACTAATAATATAAATCTTATAAATGCTTATAATATTTTGAATATTTTAAGCAAAGTTTTAATAAATTTAATAAATTTCTAAGGACAATATTAAGCCTTTACGTTACTAAATATGTACTTAATGTTCTAAATGAACGTATTTTTGCTTTACGCTTTATCTATGATATTTTTAAATGACTTTATATATAAATCATTTATTATTAATTAATATAATGCGCTGTCACAAAAAGAAGAGAACGGTATCAGTATATCACTGTAATAGACAGAAGGTTGGCTTGCCATATCAATTTTGGACATTCTCGAGATAGCTCGAGAATGTCCAAAATTGATATCCAGTATAACTTTTCACTTCTTTCGATAAAATGATATTTCAAAACGACTTTACGGCTTCTAAGTTCAGAGTTAACATTCTAGTAACATCATGTTGCTCTTCAATAAATGATGAGAAGTAAATTTGGAGATCGTTAGCATACAGATGGTATGAACAAATAAGAGTAGATTAACGGAGAAAGTATACCGCCTTGCAGGACGCCAGTATCAAGAGCAATACGAGACCACTGGGAACTTTACTGCCCCATATGAATGGACTGCTGACACCCTTGAAGATATGAAGAGAACCGATATAAGACTGAGGGTGCGAATTTTAAATGGGACAGGATAAATAAAAGGATATCACTGTCGACTGTGTTAAAAGCATAAGAAAAATCAACAAGCATACTTACAGTGGCTTTCTTCTTTTACATCTCTTTTCTAACGTCTTTCGTAACTTTGAGTAATACTGTAATGGTTCTGTGACCGAGAAACTGATAATCGCTGAATAGGCTATGTTTAAGTATAAAATTAAAGACTTGCTTATGTACGCAGCCTTCTAGAATTTTCAAAAGAAAGAGGAAGATAGGTAAAGGAAGAAGATGATTAGATAACGTAGGATTCGAAATTTCGAGAGTACGATATATGAAAGTTTTTTTCAGAGAGTTGCGTACTGACTTTTTTTCGTGGAGAAATGCCTACGAATACTCCCCTCACGGGGGTAACAATGGGTTATGTCGAACTCGCACCGGCTAAAACCCCATGGTGTTCTACCTTCGCTGCATATTGGCAGAGCCACGCGAATGTTTCCGCAACCCTACCGGCGCTGGCCACCCCATGGCAGCCTCTCATCGGGAGAGGATAACACCTCCCCCTTCTCATTCTCAGATAAGGTGCACCGGAACACGAGGCGCACCTTACTCCGCGGCGTCTAAATGCACCCGAGCCCGATGCGCAAAAGCCATGGGGCAGGAAAAGTCTCTGGCTCCGCCACCAACCAAGTTTCGGTCATGGTGCGTAGGGAGAGCGGTGCCTCGCAATACCGTCACTCCTCTCCCCCCAATGCGCCTGCACCGCCGCATCAACAGTGCGACCCCGCCAGAGTCGCGGAGGATAGAGCGAGGGCTCTTCCCCCGTGATATCACTTCGGCTGCGACGGGAAGGGGGGACATCCTTCCCGCCACATTCCACCAACGCAATTGCGGAGTGGTCTAAGTAAGCCCACTCGAAATGTCCACTTCAGGCCGACCCTTCACCTTGGGCCAGCCATGTGGGGTGCTCTTTATCCAACGCGATTGACCAAGCCAGGGCTATTAGTATTTACTACTAGTATTTTTTTTACCTGTGCCTCAAATCTCCAAAACGATGTCCGCCATATTAGATAGCGTCGTGACGTCACTAGGTCACAAAAGTAGGTTTTGCGCTGTGTACGAACTAGCTAATTTCGAAATTTTTCAAGATATCATTACGATTGTTGACTTTTATTCCGAATTTTATTGCAAAGGCATTATGGAAGACGGATTAGTAAAACCAGAAATTATTAATCCAGATTTTTGTTCTGCCGAGTTAAGAAATGTTAAAACATCAATGTAAGTACCTATTACCAACTTCTATTTATACAATAACAGATAAGAGTGTATTTTGATAACACAAAGTTATGCTTATCTATGATTATAATCTCACATAACCTAATTTTGGTTTTCAGGTCCGGAAGGGAATCTTACGGGGATGATGCAATAGGCTATGTGCAGCTCAAAAGGGTGAAAAATATATGCATAGTTAAGGGTTCAATATGCCCAGAACACAAAGTGCGTTCTAAGCCATATGCAGTTACAATTATTGTGAATGAACAGGAAGAGATTGTGATTAGTGTCCAGTGCCACGGTTGCCCCGCGTCAGAAGGTGGCTACAAGCACGGTGTTGCATTTTTAATGTGGTTGCACCGCCGAACCGAAGAACCATTCTGCACTTCGGTCGAATGCTACTGGAGAAAATCCAATCTGGCAAAGGTTAATTAAGGAAAATTAAGCAAATTAGTTTAGAACAACCCCATCCAAAGGTTGGGTCATCAATAAAAATTTTAATGGCCAAAGAAATATCCAAAAAAAAACCTCAAATTATAATTCTAGAGAACAATGTAATGAATGAGTTTGTTTTACAATGCAAAAATTTTGATACAGAGTTAACTTTATCATTACATCGCTTAATGATTAAATATAATGATGAAAACTGTGAAACTTTTTTCACAAAGATCTCTCATGTTTTAAAATCAAAACAACTTATCACTGATGTAAAAAAAAAACTAGAAACCAGCATAAAAGTAGCCTATGGTATGAACTGAGGTATGGCAGAATCACAACCTCAAAATACTATGAAGTAAGCCGGTGCAAAACTGTAGATGGTACTCTGGTAGCTATGATTCTTGATGCTAGAACCCCAGTAACTTATGCCATATTAAGGGATAAAAAACTGGAGGATGAAGTGAGAAAAACAGTGGAAAAGAAATAGGAAAGAAGATTGAAAAATGTGGTCTGTATATTTCTGAGGCACTCCCAATGGTTGCTGGTTCGCCAGATGGAATTAATAACAAGACCACTTTTAAAATTAGGTGTCCATCTACTGAAAAAACTGCACTTAATTATATAGATTCAGAAGGTTTGATAATAAAACAATATTTTGCACAAGTTCAATTACAAATGTATTGTGCTAAAGGAAACAAAAGCTACTTTTGTGTTGCTAGTAGTGGTTTCGAAAAAAATAATGAGGTCTCTATTATAAACATTGATTATGATCATGAATATGTTGTGAAGTTATTAGATAGGGTAGTATATTTTTGGAAGAATAACATTTTTCCCATCTTACACAAAAGTGTTACAGAGTGAATACCTAATATAACATAAAAGTAGGCTAGAAAATGTGTCAATAAGATGAGGCGTGTTGATGCTTCTATAACTTTAATTATGTTATGTTTATGTTATGTATATATATATACATACATAACATAAGCCCCGCTATTCCTGGCTACGGTGGCGACCATGGTAACGGCGGGGCAGTGGGTGCTAAGAATCTCCGGTGGAGGTTCGGTTGCCACCTTAGACGACTCGACCTGGCAACGTACAACGCACGCACCCTGAGGACTGACGAGAAGATCGTGGAGCTGGAAGAAGAGATAGACAAGTTGCGCTGGCATATTATAGGATTATCCGAAGTCCGAACAGAGGGGGAGGACACGGTAATCCTCGAATCCGGCAACTTGCTCTATCAACGGGAGGGCGACCATCTGTCCCAAGGAGGTGTCGGATTTATCGTCCACAAGTCTCTCGTTAACAACGTTGTAAAGATCGGGAGTGTGTCGACGAGGGTTGCGTACCTTATACTCAGAATCACCAAACGGTATTCACTGAAGGTCATACAGGTTTACGCACCAACCTCGGCACACCCCGATGAGGAGGTGGAGGAAATGTATGAGGATATCTCTAGAGCCATGCATTCCTCCAAAACCTAATATACGGTGTTAATGGGAGACTTTAATGCAAAACTAGGCACAAGAGAGAACGGTGAGCTGAAAGTAGGGAAATTTGGAATAGTGCAACGGAACCCAAGGGGCCAGCAGCTGACCGACTTCATGGAGAAAGAGGGACTCTTTATGATGAACTCTTTCTTCCAGAAGCGGCCCCACAGGAAGTGGACCTGGTCAAGCCCGACGGTTCGACAAAAAATGAGATTGACTTCATTATGACGACCAGACGACAACTGTTCAGTGATGTCTCCTAGATCGCGAGGGTGAAAACTGGTAGCGATCACCGAATGGTTAGAGGCACACTGAACCTAAACGTTAAGTTGTAGAGGTCTCGTCTAATAAAGTCAACGCTCCGTCCCCTCGTGCTCTAATCCAAAGTCCCAAAACCTTTCAGCTCGAGTTACAAAACCGTTTTCAGTGCCTAGAAGACTGCAATGAAGTGGACGATATGAATGACAAGCTCGTGGGAACTGTCCATGCGGTCGGAGTTAAGTTCTGCAAGACCCGCCGCAGAAGAACACAAAAACTCTCTGATCACACTCTTAATCTCATGGCTGTTAGACGGGAGATGAAGCTACATTCTTCAACAGACTTGACAGCATACAGGCATCTGAACAGACAGATCTCCAAATGCATGCGGTGGGACTTACGCAACTTCAATACAGCTCGTATTGAAGAAGCGATCGGGCGGAACCAAGGCTCCAAAGTCTTTGCCAGAGATCTGTCTGCCAGAAAGAGCCAACTGTCAAAGCTGAAGACAGAATGTGGCAGCATCGTTTCCGGGACACCTGAGATTTTGAGTGAGATTGAGAGGTTCTATGGGCAGCTGTACACGTCATCGTTGGAGCCACACGCAAGTGTGAGTAAAGATCCAAGAGCGAGTCTCATCCGACACTATTCCGAAGATATCCCGGACGTCAGTCTGAGCGAGATTAGAATGGCTCTCCAGCACCTTAAAAACGGTAAGGCCCCAGGCAAGGATGGAATTACAGCGGAGCTTCTGAAAGCGGGTGGAAAACCGGTCTTCCATGGTGGCATTACACCGGAGGCGTGGAGCAGAAGTGCGGTGGTCTTGTTCTTCAAGAAAGGTGACAACGCTCTCTTGAAGAACTACAGACCGATTTCCCTTCTGAGCCGCGTCTACGTGCTGTTTTCGAGAGTCATTACGAATCGTCTCGCGCGCAGACTTGACGACTTCCAGCCTCCCGAACAAGCCGGTTTCTGAAAGGGCTTTAGCACCATAGACCACATACATACCCTTCGGCAAATTGTACAGAAGTCCGAAGAGTACCATTTGCCACTATGTCTGGCGTATGTGGACTATGAGAAAGCCTTTGATTCCGTCGAAATTTGGGCGGTGCTGCAGTCCCTTCAGCGGTGCCAAGTTGACTGTCAGTATATCGAAGTATGGGATGAATGTTATTGTTATTCTTCCAAAAAGACACTACCCTATCTAATAACTTCACAACATATTCATGATCATAATCAATGTTTATAATAGAGACCTCATATTTTTTCGAAATCACTACTAGCAACACAAAAGTAGCTTTTGTTTCCTTTAGCACAATACATTTGTAATTGAACTTGTGCAAAATATTGTTTTATTATCAAACCTTCTGAATCTATATAATTAAGTGCAGTTTTTTCAGTAGATGGACACCTAATTTTAAAAGTGGTCTTGTTATTAATTCCATCTGGCGAACCAGCAACCATTGGGAGTGCCTCAGAAATATACAGACCACATTTTTCAATCTTCTTTCCTATTTCTTTTCCACTGTTTTTCTCACTTCATCCTCCAGTTTTTTATCCCTTAATATGGCATAAGTTACTGGGGTTCTAGCATCAAGAATCATAGCTACCAGAGTACCATCTACAGTTTTGCACCGGCTTACTTCATAGTATTTTGAGGTTGTGATTCTGCCATACCTCAGTTCATACCATAGGCTACTTTTATGCTGGTTTCTAGTTTTTTTTTTACATCAGTGATAAGTTGTTTTGATTTTAAAATATGAGAGATCTTTGTGAAAAAAGTTTCACAGTTTTCATCATTATATTTAATCATTAAGCGATGTAATGATAAAGTTAACTCTGAATCAAAATTTTTGCATTGTAAAACAAACTCATTCATTACATTGTTCTCCAGAATTAAAGTCTGAGGTTTTCTTTTGGATATTTCTTTGGCCATTAAAATTTTTATTGATGACCCAACCTTTGGATGGGGTTGTTATAAACTAATTTGCTTAACTTTCCTTAATTAAACTTTGCTAGATTGCATTTTCTCCAGTAGCATTCGACCGAAGTGCAGGATGGTTCTTCGGTTCGGCGGTGCAACCACATTAAAAATACATTAAATATAACAACAGACAAATCTAAATACAAATTGTAATCCCAATCTTAGCAGTGCAAGCGATTTGAGACACCTTTGCTTTAATTAACAAAGTACGTATATGGTAACGTTTGCGATTACATCGTATTATGATCACCTAATTTAGACGTAACTTATACAATGTTATTATATACATAATATGTGGATACAAGTAAAGTGATAGTTTTAAATTCCTTATTTACACAGAATTTTAGACACATAATTTTTGCTTAGATCGAAAAAGATTGCTAGAAGTATGGAATTTACTATATCGTTTACAGAAAATAATTGAATAATCACTTTAACACATATCAACTTTACACAACAAAACATTAATTTATTTAAGCATTCAAAAGAATAATTTTAATTTTTAAGTAGGTTTATGTATATAAGTATAACTTTAAGGTTCACTGCCTTTATAAAGGAAAAGAAAAACTAATACTTATTAACAATACTGAATTGTTTTTAAATAAAATTTACTACTTAAAAAAACCATGAAATATATCATATTTAACAATATATCAGTATTATTTTAATTATACGAAAAATTAATTTATGGTAAACTATGGTAAATCTTAGTACGTAAAATGTAATCTACTATATTATTTCATTCGTTTTATATTGTATCCTGCACAGTTATAAAAATAATATGAAACAATAAACAATAACTAAATAAAATTTAATATAAAATTGTCTTGTAACTTAATACAAATGCCATAAGTGCCTAAAATGTAATGTGTTTTTTTTAATATTGTATTATGATTACATTTTTTATATATATAAATAGTAATAAAAATATTGAAAAATCAATTTTATCGTGAGTTATCTGATAAATAAGTTCAATTTAAACATACGTGTTTTAAATATAAAATACTTAATACTTAACTTCAACAAATATTATAGCAAAAAAAATATAAAAACAATCTGAAATTGATAAATAAACTTTTAAATGGCATTAAAATCACACAGGTGCGAAGTTACCTCTTAATTTTCTTCTTTGTTCTTCTGAACGAAGCTTGCAAGAGTACAACCGCTGCTTTCCTTTTCAAATAAACCTGCCATTTCTTGAATATTCTTCTTTGGTAATTATATTGAAAAAAAAAACACTTTTTATTTTTCTCATTCTTTCTTAGCTGCTTTCATAGTAGGTGCTATTATACATTTCAATTATATTACTTCATGTTCATTATACTTTTTATATTTCAATCAGCTTCTGTAAAATTATTATTGTGGCCTCTTCTTTTATTCATATTTAGTTATTTTTTCATCACATCGGGGTATATATTCCGTGTAGTCCGGGTATATAATTGTATTATTTTCAACAATTTTTGCAGGCCGCAGCGGTGCGCGTGCATTGTAGCAGCGCACCGCCTGGCGGGGTCGCCATGTGATATAGGAAATGTGTCAATAAGATGAGGCGTGTTGATGCTTCTATAACTTTAATTATAATGTTTCTTATTCAACCTTAACACTAATATATATATATATATAGTCGTGGGGGCTATACTACACTACAACACATTTAATATGTGTGCATGTGTTTCCATAACTATTTCATAATTTTAATTATATAATTCTCGAAATGTTTAAGCGATATACCAAAATAAATGATTAACTTTAACGTGCTATATATTGGATAAAATAAATAGCATTTTATAAGTGCTACAGTTTACTCAAAATAGTGAACGGCTGATTGGACATGGTCAGGTGCGTGGCCGAGTCTTGAAGAGATTTAAGCTACGCCGATGCTACCTGCTCTTTCTTGGCGGATCTTACGGCAGGATGACTCGAGCTGCCACCGAGCGCTTGGGAAACTTTATCCTGGGAAGAGTAACATTTATTTAATAATTTCTGTATTTTAAATTTATGTAAAGGCATATCAAACATTGAATCAGGTATTTTGTTGGAAAATTGAATGCCGTTTTCCTGAGCAATCTTTTGAATCGACAGGGGATACAAAAGGGTCCATACCGAGTTACCAAAGTGTTACCAAGTGATCAATATGAGCTGAAGTTATGATCTGGAGCTAGACGCAAGACTATCCAGGTCGCAGCTCAGTATATGGTGCCCTGGAAAGGCGAATAGAGTCCCGAGAGTTGTGCTGTATGTTTTTGAAAATGTGTTCAGACTTAATCTTTTTAATATGTTTTCTTTTGTGTGTTACAGTAGCACGTGTAATGTGCGTACACTAATGTGCGTACATGTGCGCGAGTGTGAGGAGAGTGTGTGCCTTGCTAGTCGGAGTGGACTGCCGGGTCCAGCTGTAGCATGGCCTGGTTTCGGCGAACGCGAGAATAACATTTATCCCATCTTACAAAAAAGTTTCAAAGAGTGAATACCTAATATAACATAAAAGTAGGCTCAATACACATTTAATATGTGTGCGTGTGTTTCCATAACCATTTGAAACCTAGTTAAGGAAGTCAGTATTGTATTCAATTAGTTTTAATTAATTATTGTAATGAATAGTTATTAAATATCATTGAGACATATTTAGTGGTTTTTAAAATTCTTCAGCACCCCTCCCGAAACTTGACAATGTACAAAACTGCAAACTATGAAAATATTTTTATTTATTTTCTTTGATCGATCTTGCAAATGAGACTTCTATAGATAAAATAAACTGGTAAATAAAATGTAGATTTTTTAATAGTGTTTTTTTTCGAATTTGATTTTTTTTTTCAATTTTCATCTTTAATTTCTAATATTAATACAAGTCATTTTATTAGTACGAGATACGATGATACACATTGTAATTAGACAATAGCTACTTCAACTAATTCGAGGCAGCCTCCACTCATTTGACAAGAGCATTTTGTAAATGAATAAAAGCACAAGCGGTTCTAAGGCTCATATCCAACATTCCAATTTGATTAATGTTTATCACTGAATGCATCTTTAACATTCTAAACTCTCTAATTCTTCGAATTACCCTCTCTACATGAATTCGAAGACTTGCTATTTGTTTAGTCTGCCGCACTTCATCTTTTGTTAGTTTAGAACCAGGAGAAATACTTGGAGGCCTTAGCAAAGTAAATCCTTTTTGAGATAAAAAATGTTCAAGGTGCTTAAAACAGCTAACATGCAAGCATTGTGTGGTAAGCTATCTAAAAACATGCTATGTTCAACCAAGTTTACATCACTTATCCCTCCTGTATATCCAGCAGACACAAAACTCACGAGACCGTTAGGTGTACATACTAGAAGATATTTTATGGTGTAAAGCAATGGGTAAATTTCTCTTGATAGATTCGGTTGAAAACTGTTTAATAAAGGGGGAAAGAACGTTTACAATTTTTTGCATCTTATTGAAAAATATATTGCTTGCTTGAGTTATGGATAAATCGAAATCGTCAGCCATTTCTGAAAATGTTCTATTCAATTTTATTCTCATTATACATAACAAAATATTTTGTTGAGCAACATTGGTGTTCTTTTCACTTAAATCTAATAGGAAATACAGTTCCTTCGGTAGACCAATGTATAATTGAGGTTTATTTTTAATCTTAAATAAAGTGCTTCGCAATTTTTTTTTTCTAATTATTTACTATCATTTTGAGAGCTATCTGAAGTAGTCTTTGATTGACTATGTATTTTGTATGAAGAGGACTCGTAATCAGTTGTTGAACCTGATATTGAGGGAGTCTATGACTCATCACTCTCATATTTATTTTCAACAAAATTCAGTTTTCTTTTTACGGATGATAGCTTGATTGTACTTTTCTTGGACATTTTAAAGGGTGACGTTGCAGTACGTTTAGCTACAGTTGCCTTCAACGGTGATGTCTTGCTGTCTTTATTTCTTAAACTACTCTGCACGTATTTACTTCGGTAGTGTATCATCCAACAGACTTGAATGGATTTATGTTCCTGGGCTGGTACTACTTGGACTGCTTTATCACACTTATTTTGAAGCATCGGAAAATCTGGAAATAATATTGAGTTAAGATTAATTTAGTATTCATTCTGGCGATAACATTGATAATTTATTAATATCGGCATAAACTACAAATAAAATCAAGGAAATAAAATTACCTTGACTAAATGATGGTAATGATTTCACATATTTCTCCTCATTTTTCATGGTGTCTTTAATCTCTTTAATTGTAGACATTCTTTGCCGTTTAATAAAGGCATTCCGAGGTTTGTTCGGAGTGGACTTGCGTTTTCTATCTACCTGGCATTCAAATCTGGATTGTGTGCAGTTCGGTTTCATTCGAATTCGTTTAACGGAACCTATAATCTTATATTGTGTGTCCATGTCATTTTCCAGCTAAAACATACAATAATTTTTATGAAATTTGAAATCAAAGCGAGTTTATTACTTCGCTTTTAGCACTAATGTTATAGATATTATAATATAAGGTTAGGTGAGAAAAACTTGTTGTTATATTTTTTTGTATAAACCCTCAGACGAAATAAAAAGTCACTTTTTATTTAGTCTGAGTACAAACCATGTCTTCCCATATAATAGAAGAAAACAGCAATTAAGTAAAACACTGCAATGCACTTGCAAGAGCTATCAAAACGGCCCACAAAGAGCGGGACAGACGAGCGATTAACCTAATTATTACATAATTTGATTTGCAATAGGTACTTATCATGTCATGATGATGTTTCGTTTTGTTTAATCGATAGTTAAATATAAGTCATACTTACATCAAAGTAATCTTCACAGAAGTATACTCGTAGTTTAGATTTTGTAGACAATGCCTTCGGGTCTCTTCTTGCCAGTTTCGACCAAGTATTTCTCATATTTAAATCAGTTGGCACTTTAATCCATAACTTCCCCGGTGTTTTTATGCTCGTATTTTTGCAACCAGGCACAACACAACAATGATATAGATGATAACTGATTATTAAACATTCAAAATTATCTTATTCCTTTGCAAAGTTGTCAAAATTCTAAGACAGTAACGTCACGAGTTGAACAGTATGGCAGCTAGCGTTTTCACGCGAAAATTTAAAACGATAGATTAAAAGTAGTTTTTAAGTCACTATTCGGTTTTAAATAATTTATATAAAAATTAAAGTGGTTCATTATCACTCTAGGATTCATTTAAAACACAATGTTAATGAATATTGAGATTAAGAGTGTGATCGGAGAGTTTTTGTGTTCTTCTGCGGCTGGTCTTGCAGAACTTAGCTCCGATCGCATGAACAGTTTCCACGAGCTTGTCATTCATATCGTCCAATTCATTGCAGTCTTCTAGGCACTTCAAACGGTTTTGTAACTCGAGGTTTCGTGACTTCGGATCAGAACACGAGGGGGGCAGAGCGTTGACTTCATTAGACAAGACCTCTCCAACTTAACGTTTAGGTACAGTGTGCCTCTAATCATTCGGTGATCGCTACCAGTTTTCACCCTGACACTGAACGGAGATATCACTGAACAGTTGTCGTCTGGTCATCATAATGAAGTCAATCTCATTTTTTGTCAAACCGACGGGGCTCGACCAGGTCCACTTCCTGTGGGGCCGCTTTTGGAAGAAAGAGTTCATCGTAAAGAGTCCCTATTTCTCCATGAAGTCGGTCAGCTGCTGGTCCCTTGGGTTCCGTTACCCTATTCCAAATTTCCCTGTCTTCAACTCACCGTTCTCTCTTGTGCCTAGTTTTGCATTGAAGTCTCCCATTAACACCGTATAGTGGGTTTTGGAGGAATGCATGTTTTTAGAGATATTCTTATACATTTCCTTCACCTCCTCATCGGAATGTACCGAGGTTGGTGCGTAAACCTGTATGACCTTCATCGAATACCGTTTGGTGATTCTGAGTATAACGTACGCAACCCTCGTCGACACACTCTCAATCTTTACAACATTGTTAACGAGAGACTTGTGGACGATAAATCCGACACCTCCTTGGGACAGATGGTCGCCCTCCGGGTGATAGAGCAAGTTGCCGGATTCGAGGATTACCGTGTCCCCCCCTCTCTTCGGACCTCGTATAATCCTATAATATGCCAGCGTAACTAGTCTATCTCTCCTTCCAGCTCCACGATCTTCTCGTCAGTCCTCAGGATGCGTGCGTTGTATGTTGCCAGGTCGAGTCGTCTTAGGTGGCAACCGAACCTCCACCGGAGATTCTTAGCACCCCCTGCCCCGCCGTTACCATGGTCACCACCGTAGCAGGAATAGCGGGGCCGCCGGGGACTGGGGGCCGTCTCTTTGTTGCTCTAATAATTGGGGGGTATTTGCCATAGTTGCCATGCTTGGCGAGCGGGTTAGCAACCGCAGTTTTTTTATTGTACTTTTGCTGTTATCAGGAAGATGCTGCTGCCCATCTCCTGCCTGTTTCCCTTTGTTGCCTTTTACGACACCCACGAGAAGAAATGGGGTAGTGGATATTCTTAACCGCCACTACACGGCTTGATTGCTTTTAGGTTACTTAAACGGTAATAAATTTATTTTCAACCTTTATTGCATTTACCTATAAAAAAGGATACAAAGGGCGGACTTAACGCCGTCAGGCATTCTCTACCAGTTAACCATAGCTAAACGGAGCTAGTTTAGCAAATAACATAAAGACATGAAATTATTAATATGCATGAATACACACATAATGTACATATAAATACATTTATAAATATATATTAAATTAAAAATTATACTGTAAATTAGCGTAAATGTAAGCATCAATTTCTTACTTAAATATTTAATGACTTTTAACAATTTGTCTGAACGGTTATCTTAGTTGTTTTATTACATGTTTATGATTTTTGCTTAAATATTTTTTAACATATCAAACAAAAAAGATCGTCCGCAGATTTATTCGAAGTTTATTTCTCCTGTTATTTGTATTCATAGACAAGAACATTTATCATCAATTAAAATCAAAATGCGGATGCATTGTTATCCATATATACATAAATATATATATATATATATATATATATATATATATATATATATATATATATATGCACTCATTGATTAATGAATATTAAACGGTTCTATGCCTCTTTAACTATAGTTTACACTAATATACCAACGGATCTGTTGCATGTTAGTGTAAATTAAAGCCCACCTTACAATAGCGAGCCACTTATGTCTCCAAATTGCAAGTTTTGTTGTAGATAATGGGAAACGTATTCAAATTAATAATTTAACTGGGTAATTCATACCCGGTAAGTCATTTTAGTCACTTTTAGCAAAAGGCATACGGCTAAGAATGACTTAAAAGAAAAATTATTTTGTCTAAACAAAGTATACCTTTCCACGTCTTTATTATTCATCGGCTTAGGTGATACGAAGGTATATAATTCCCAAAGATGCTATGAATATTTCATTTGGACTATTCATGAAAATTCATGAATAAAATAGTGCAATAGCAAACTAGATCAAGAAGGCCGCTAAAATAAATTAACTTTTATATGTATGCAATGGCTAAATGCTAATTAGTACTTAAGAGACAAGCAAATGAAAAACAATTTGTGCATCCTATATAAGAAGTTTTCTTTTAGGTAGTTGTGCTGTGGTAATAGTTTTGAGAAATATGATGCACCAAATAATCACCTTGAGCTTCAGTTTAATCAATTTTATAAAAACTATAATATGTTTATTGCTAAAAGTTATTTTCCCATAGTGGAGGTATTAATATGTACTAACCATTGACACAGTTAAATGAGCTAATACTTGAGATATTAGGTTGGGCGGAGGAAATACCCACCCGAGTCGATAATTCCGTTCCTGACTGAAAGGGTCTTAGAATATTGCCAAATTGCCTTTGCAGTCTAAAGAGACGTATCCGTTGACAAAGGCTGTCTGAATATGCGAACAGTTCAATTACTGGAGTTCCACAACGATGGAACTATTTCGTTAGTTTGTTACATTGACCAGCAGATACCATTCTGACAATCTCCGTCCTCGTGAGAGGTGATCGGCTATATACTTGTAGCTCCCCGGGAGGTAATGTGATGATAGGAGTATTTTTTTCCTGTTGGTCAGCCTCAACAACTTGTAAAAAGCAAACTCATTGAGTGAGTCTCCACATGCTGCCAGATATATAGCATAAGGGTTTGATTGTTCTACTGGACTAGAAAATGAGCATTCTATGAGCATTTTGATTGGTGCTTGATTGATGCATATACCGTGAACAGTCCTTACCAGTTCGAGTGCCATTTCATGCGATCTCTTGTCCAAACTCCTGACCTGACCTTATCATCTCGTTCAATTGGGCACCCTAGCCTGTGTCTGAAGCATCAAATTAGTCCACTAAACCATTTCATAGCCTTGAAAATACTACATTTAGTGTAAAAATTGGCAACCTGCAGTGCAGGGGTGTGAATATCAAAACACTACTGCAACGTGGCGTACGTGAATTACGCGCAAAGAAAGACGCAATCTAATTTTAATCTTAAACCTTATGTGCTAGTGTGCCATCCAGTTTTACCAATTGAGGCAATGTAAGCTGACAGAAGTTTGCCTCGATCGCTTTGGCAAACCAAACAGTTCTAATGCCGGATGAACTGTTCAAAAGTTTTGCGTCAGTATGTTTAATGAGCTTATAACTAGCTTTCCGCGAGATAAGTCGAACGTTTGCGCTTTAAGGCTTTTATTCATTTGGCGTTGAATCAAAGATGAGATTGGCCTTCGATGGGTATGTCAATAAAGGGAATAAAATAGTCCACGAATTGACGCACCACATTCATTTTATGTGCATGATAACTAATTTGTTTCTCCGTCAAGAAACAGCTTCTCGGTCTCGAGACGGTGATAGACTGCGCTGGTAACATGAGCGTAATCCTCAAATAGAGAGAAGTTCATTTTAATAAGAGGACGTGCAACCGCTGTTTAAACGTGCCTCTTCTTTTAGATTTTCTCATGGGTAAAAGGATGAATAGAAATGGAGAATGGCAGTTCAACGAGGCCCTGCGGTTATAACCCAGCAACACGACCAGAGCTGCTTCGCCAGAGGGATTTTATTCTAATGAAACGAAGCCCCCACAGATATCGCTATTGGATGTTTCGTCCAGATAAAGCCACCCAGGTATTTAGTTATTTACTTAGGATCCCGTTACCCTCCGCGACCAAGCAACAGAAACAATAGTCGCTTCGCACCGGGTTCACACACGCGGCGCTACTATTCAGACCCATTCCCATATTATGGCTAATCGCAGCATCATGCCGGAACACGACGATGTTTATTGGCGACACGACTTTGCGCGTTAGACTAGAAACAGAAACAGAAACTTTTTTATTCAATATAGATTATAAATAATACGTATTGAAAGTCACTCTTTTGATTGATTACCACTGGTTCGGAAAAAACTCTGTCCTGGGAAGAACCAGCAAGAAACCCAGCGGGACTTTTTTTTAAATAACAGCTTACAATCTTGATGTAACACAAATTTACAACACAACAAATTAGAAATAGCTTGGTAGCGATCACCTCATTTCCAGGGGTTATTATCATCCATAAATTCCTTAATATTATAATAACCCTTTTTATACAAACTTAGTTTCATAAAGTTTTTGAACTTTGAGCAGGTCAAACTTTGTATATTTTACTAAAATAATGCACCCGAAGCGTACTACCGGGAAGTGGATTAGCACTACTAAAGGGATTCAGAGTATTAAAGTTTTATCAAGACACGAATAGCCACAGCAAAATTGGACTTTTAAAATTCAGTGATATATTAAAAAATACGGTTCAATATTCCGGGCAATAGCCCTGCAATGGCAACTGTATTCCAGCATTTTCATAATCAATAAAATCTTTCAGCAAAATGTCTTATGCATCTCGTCCTATTTTAT